ATCTTGTCGCTGCATGAGGATGATAACGAAGAGAACATACAACAGTTTGAAACAGAATGACATGGCATAACAGCAATGATCACGGTTCAGTTTAGATAATGGTCAGATAAAGATCACTGCATTAAATCAACGTATGGGGAGAGGGTTGAGGGAAGTTAACGAAAATCACTTGGGAATTAAAACTAAGTGCCCAATTACCAGGATAATTGGAAGTTGACCACATGGTCAAGCTGCTTGCATAGGTCGGGTGTCTCCCGACCGGCAGCTTCCAAATAGCGCGGGGTTTGGTTTGTTCGGGCCCGAACAATACTCAAAATGCTGTTTTGAAGTCGACAGAATGACCGCTATATAGTAGATGCTTGGTAATAGAGGACTGTGGTATTCTATATTTTTGCTTGAAAAGCCAGTTGCATAAGTGTTCAGCGGCCCTAACTGTCAGTTGCCTTTGCTTATTTAAATTGAACTATGATCCTTGCTGTTATGTCATGTCATTCTGTGAAATTTCAAAATGTTGTATGTGCTCTTCGTTATCATCCTCATGCAGCGAAAAGATCCAGTTGAGTAGCTGTCACGAAATTTATTGACGTCAATAAATCCTGTTGTGTATGCCTATTTTAAATTTGTACCGGGGATCAAATGCTTCAAAAGCCGTACAAATCAACTTTACTCTAAACAAGTTACCATGCAAGTCTTTATTACGGCCCATCCGTTACCTTTGTGGTCCTAATCGCTTCCTATAGACAAACTATTAAAAATGAAAGTAAATTTAGCAGCTCTTTGAACACTATATAAACACCGAGCCAATTTTGTGTTTTTCAGCAGAAATGTGTAAGGTATTATAGCCAAGAATTTTCCAAATCTGCATTAAGTTGCAAGTTGTTTTAAGATTCCTCAGCCACGGAGGAAGTAGACGCTGTGCATTCCCCGTTTTTCTCTGCACCTCCCTCTTTCCGAACTTCGCCTAAGCACTGTATTTATTTATGAGTGTTGGTAAACGCTGAGTTGCTCGCCAACGTTATATAAATAAAACTAAATAACTACTATATGCATTTTAGTAGACGTAGTTATTTATATTTACTATATGGAATCCGCTGGCCACGTTGACTATTTCATCATTGCACCCCCGAACGCGGAAATATTTAGCGTTCTGTGGTTACTTTTAGTTTTATTCGTTTATGTTTAGTTTGCTTTAGTTTTTCGTTTATTTCGTTTTTTGTTTGGTTTAGTTTTTACTTTATTATTTAGTTTTATTAGTTGTAGTTCGGTTAATTTAGCTTACTTTGGTTAGTTTAGTCCTAGTTTAATCTAGTTGTTTTAATTTTTTGGGCAGTTGCTTTTCGGCTTATCGCACTTCAATATCTGTCCAAATGCATTAGAAGCTATTGTGAGTTTTAAAAATGTGGGAAAAACCTACCCTTCATGGTTTTACTTTCGTCTCTAAATTTTTCTACAGAGCCGATATAGGTGTGCGTACAATTCGCGGGTACTTTCGCGCAATTCTTTTTTCCGATTAGTTTTATTTCTCATTTTAATTATCGTGCGCCAAACATTATGCTATTTAACTAATCATTCCTCTTATTTTATGCTTTAATACGATGGGCTATTTATTAATTTTTTCCCCTGATATGACCCACCCTTTTAATCCCTTTTACCACCGATCCCCTAAGACAACATCCTCGGGTTAGGGCTATCTAAGGTTGGCGAGAAAATTTACTTCTGCCGAAGTGTTTTGTAATTAGCCCCGTTTGACCCTTTATATCTGCATGCTTCTTTCCCTCAAACGTCTTCTAAACTGACGCTTATCTCAACTCCAGCCCAAGGAATTCAAGCTTGACCAGAAAAATATCGAAAAAATCGCTGAAATCGTAAAGGATGTCGAACGATTGGGGGATCTTCCGCTCAACTCCAATGCACCTGCCCGCAGTGGCCCTGCTCAGCCAGCCCTGTCTGCTAAACCAGGTGTCAGCAGTAGCAACACGGACGAGGAGGTAATCGATTTGACGGTCGAGGAGGAGGATGATCACGGCGACATCGTCATGGTCGACTTGACAGCGGAGGAAGAGACCACCCCAGCAGACCCCCTCGTACCCAACGCGGCGCTAAGTGAGGAACTGAAAAGCGACTTAGGTGAACAGATGCGTAGCCCGCAATACTTGGCCATGAACGTCAAGCGCTCTAAACTGCCCACTT